AACTGGAATGACAGGCATTAGTGGCGAGAAATAGGCAATTGATTGCAAAGTCAAGATGTCAAGATGAAACGCTTCAATAAAAAAGACCTTCACGCCTGAGGCATACTTTTTGCTAAAATTGTGGTGGGTGTATATATATTATTTTTAATAATGGCAAAATAGTTTTCCTATTCTTGAAGTTTTTTAATCTTCCACTGAGGAAAAATTAGAGGAGCTAAATAAATCAGTTCACTGGATAATTAATTTACACAAACAAAACTACTATTGGCCTTTTGTCATTTCTGTTGGGAGCGTCATCTGTATAAGCAGAGATGAGCAGGCAAGGAACTGATCAGTAAGGAACAGTGTCAGGGCCTCTTTAGATCATGTCTCTGTCTGGCTTCTAATGCCGTTTGTCCAAAATGATTTCTGAAAACACCAAAACTTCCTGGTCCTGCTGTGCACATCACCTTGCACCTCAGCCCGGGGAAGAGTTCTGTATGGAGCCATCTGGCCAATGGGCAGCAGGGAGAATGGAAAGCCAGAGACGTGATTGCCTGTCCTGTCCTTTTCTTGCAGACACAGCCTTACATTTGTTAAGTCAGGGAAAGTTCTTGTGTCTTAGAACTAGAAATCTTAGTTTAGCCATCAGGCCTATCACTGTAGAGATGAGGGCACTATATCCAGAGAGGTTAAGTAACTTGTCCAAGGTTGACACAGCAGATCAGTGAAGCTGAGGCTAGCCTTTCTCCTGGTCCTCAGACCAGTGTTCCTCCTGCAGTCTTGCTTCGGCCTCACTTTGTGGAAAGGTGATTGCTTCTCCCCACTCCTCTTACACCCCACAGTTATATCAGTGAATTATGTCTACTGTCTCATGACATTCCTCAATTCAAAGGAAACCTACCCTATAGTGTAACAGTTCCCATTTTCCCTGCTCTTTGGAAGAATGTTCTACGTGCATGTCAGTGCTGAGTCTTGAGCTCCTTTGTAGGAGGGTGTCCTGGTTGTTGGGACTCATCCAGGCAGAACTGGATGATTGGTCAAGGAGCTTTTCTGCATTACTTGCTGTCAAATAACAGCCATGTCTTATTGATTGGCACAGGGAAATTTAGGTCCAACATTCTCCCTAATGATACAGAGCTTCATATTAAAGGATGTCAAGAAATTGATGTTGCTCTTCTTTAGGAACAAAAGGTGTCTGAAGTTAGATGGGACTGAATAACCAAGAAAATATAAATAGACACCTTCCTATCTCCCCAGTCCCCACCCAGGAGCTGTGATCCACCATAGAAGATAAATCTTGCCAAGTCTCTGGGACAAAGGAAGAAAAAACACAGAGCAGCTAGGCATCAGCAGTCATTGGACCAAAATAAATTCTGAGATGGTTGATAATATGATTATTTGGATCAATTTCTCTGTTTCCTTCTCCACCCCCTTAGGACTGAGCTGAACTTCCCCTTCAATGCAAACAGTATTAGGTGCCTTGCATCTGAAGAGCATGTCAGCAGACACTGGTCAAAAATAATAGGAATCTTGGATTTGATGGAGTTTGGACATTAGAGTCAGGAAGACTTGGACAATAATTTGGACTTTGCCACTTACTAGCCTTTTGTCCTTGGATAAATCTAACCTTCTGAGCCTAAATTTCAATATCTTTACTAAGTAACTTTTAAGACTGAGAAATTAATTAGATAATTTATTTAAAATAATACCGGGGACAGTGTTGATCATTTGTAGATGTTCTGAAAATATTTGCCATTATAATTTATATAGCCTCCTGGGATCCCACTCTGGATTTTTTGGTAGGTCTGTACTCTCAGCATCTCACCAGAAAACTTGACCAAAAAAAAAAATCAGAAGCAGTATTATTAGCTGATGTTGCAGAGGACCATGCTCCAGAATCAAACTCAGCTATCACAAATTTTCCTGACACAACAGAATGGGCTACAGAAGAGTATAGGCCCTAAGAATTTTTTAAGTAAATTGTGGATGGTATTATTGGAATTTCTGCATTCTTAAAAAGCATTGGATTTTAGGATACCCCACCTCTAGGATTCTTGATCCTTATTACTAAGTGTTTGTGTGGCTTCAGCAATTTTTGATAGGTGCATTTATTTTAGAGCCCTGCTGTGTCAGTAAGCTATAGCCACAATTTTTCTGGATAGTAAACCACCCAAACTCAGGGCCATATAACAATAAACTCATGAGTGTGCAGATCAACTAAGGTTTGACCTATCTAGCTGTAGGTTGGGTCCCTTCTGATCCAGATGTCTCTCATCCTCCTTGTGATAACTATCTGATATAGGAATGCAGGAGAAGAGGGTGAGCATGACCATGCAGGTACATTGAAAGCCTCTGCTAACCTCATGTTCAGTATCCTCCCATTAACCAGGCAAGTCACATGGCCAAGCCCAAAGGTCAAGGGGCAGACTCATGGATTTGGATAAATATTAATACTATGGAGAAGTCAAAAATTGGGGACCAATGAACATTCTTCCACACTTCTGGTGTTGTAAACTATTGCTGCAATGTAATTCCCTTTCTGGTCCCTTAAGGGTGTTGTCTTTTTGACCTGGCTATAACCTCTGATAAATAATATGCCTCATACATCTTGGCATATTGTGAGCCCACATGAGAAGATAGGTAGGTATTCTTTAATAAATATGTCCTTTTAAGATTTGGTGTTGGGATGAAATGACTTCATAGAACATGGAAGAAAAGAACTGTGGAGCATGCCTCTGCACAGCCAGTCCTTCAATCCAGCCCACATCAGCAGGGAATGGTAATTACTATCATCTAATGGCAAGTCAAGAGTCTAACTGAATTGAAATATTGGCTTCCCTCCAATTCCCAATGATTTTGAGTCCATTCTATAAAAAGCATCAATGTAACTGATACATGTGGGTTCAGATAGCACACCAGATCAAAAGCATAGATTACTTTGAAAATATGACCATTGTTTCTAGGAATAACTCTTCTTGACTATTAGTAAGGAATACTCAGCTACTCTAAATCATTGGGCTGAGGTGAGGGGCAGTAAGGCAAGGCAGTAGCTGAGACGGTAACATGAATGTGGATGAAAAATCTTCTTATCCTGTCACTTACCAGAATGTAGGTCTTCAGAGAATAACCTTTATTCTTAGCATGATATATTCATCTACTCCCTAAAGGGCCAGGAGCTTAAGATTCTTTCTCATTATCACTACTTCTCGGAAAAACCCAGAAATAACCAGAGGAAAGTGGTCTTCCTGCTTGGCTGCTTTTCTGGGAATCTTATTGAAGGCAGCACAGCTCAGGGGTTAGAAACCTGAGCTCTGAAGTCTGTGGCTGTGTTTAAACTCAACTGGGTAGCTGTGTGACTTTGAGAAGGTTGCTTAACCTCTGTGGTGGTCATTGGGGCTGTTCACAGATGGTCAGTTTCCCTTTCCTCCTGGCACCCAAAAGACTCAACCCCCTGGCTCCTTTGTAGTTGGGTGGTGCCATGTAACTAGTTCTGGTCAAAGAATTGTGAGCAAAGGTGTTGTATATAGGGTTTCTTGGCTATAACATTTAATAATCAATGCAAGATTCTCCAGAATTCTCTCTTGTCCCTCTAGCACAATGATGAGCAACATTCAAGATGGTGACCATTCCATCAACCTGGGTCACAGAATAACTGAGGAGAGGCCCCCTGGTGACCTGTGATAGACTTGAAGCATGAGAAAGAAATAAACTTGTTTGTACCCAGCCTTTATGATTTTGAGGGTTATTTGTTACAATAACCTGATCTACCCTGGTTTGATATGTGAAAAGTGAGGGTAACATAGAATCTAGATTATGAAATAATCATGAAAATTAAGTAAGTTAATATATGTACGATATTGTGCCACATAGTAAATTCTTAATATAGTTTAGCTATTATATTTAATTAAGTAATTTTGCATTCTAACTAGTCTCTAATGAGTTATTTATATCTTTCAAGTAAGTTGCTGTGTGATTTTGAGAAATTCAACCTCAAATTGCAATACTAGTATGTTAGACTAGATGGGCTAGAGTTTTAAATCTCTAGACTTAAAGTTATGTGCATCTTTTATGGAAATACTCAGAGGACCCATCCTGGTGTTTCACAAATATTCTGTTGAGTAGGGGAACAAGATATGTGATAAAACTAAACATCATTTTCTCCCTTTTCCCAGTTTCTCCCTACCCCCAACCTCCCAAACAATAAGATCTATGTCCTTGTCAAAGATTGTTCTGTATTCTATTCTGAAACTTTCTGCCCAGGAAATTACATCTGGCCTGTAAATTCTTAGCTACAAATTGATTTCCCAATTTATGCACCTATATTCTTAGTAATCCATCTTCTCTCTCGGTTCTGTATTCAACATAAATACATAATATCTTGTTTTATTAATAAAATCTCACTGGCTTCAAGCCACAGCCCACCATGGTCTTTCTTTTGGCAGTATGGTCTTCTTTAGTCCAAAAGGAGTTCCGCTTTAATCCTGGCTCAAAGTGACCACGCTCACACCACCGCAACCAACCACTGAAACCTGTCCTCCAATTTCTCTGGATCAGAACTTTCCACATCTTGATTTACAGTATTTATTTTTTTCTCCTTTGTGATACTGTTTGGATCCTACACTTGTCCCAAAGGCCACATAGCTCATATTGTTCAGCCTATATATAAACCAAATTTGGGAAAGAGGAGGAATCTCATTGCATACATATTGACTTCCATGTTGGAATCAGTTCATTAGGAATCCTAATATTTTTCCCTCCTTACCTTCTTGATCTAGGAGTCTTTAGACCATGCTTTATGTTCCTGTATATAACCTCATGGCCTCCCCACCCACCTCTAGTGCTTGGTTTATTATAGATCCTGCTACTGTGTTTATTGACTGTCTAGGTGGAGGACTTTTTTTATATCTATTGTTCATACATATTCATACATGTTCATTTTGGGAGGAAGTGACATTTCTTTATCCTCTTTCAGAGGATTACTTTATGGGAGGAAGTGACATTTCTTTATTCTCTTTCAGATTGAAGATATCATTACGAAGATGCAAGATGACAAGACAGGTGGTGTGCCCATCAGAACAGTCAAGAGCTTTCTCTCCAAAATTCCCAGTGTTGTCACAGGTAAACATTGTCCTTTCGAGTGTTGGTGGCAATAGAAGAAGGCTGCTAAAAAGAGTTGTGTAGTCTTGATTGTTTCCTGGGATGTGTCTAAGAATTTGTGAATAGTAAAGATGATACATTCAATGTGCTTCTTAATGTCAAATTCTGGTCATGGTTTCTGAAAGCTACTCTTTGCCAGTGATTCAGAATGGTCTTACCATGACCAACCCTTCTGTGTACAGGTTGAGGCTTCTAGAAAGAAACAAACTCATTAGTGAACTGGATAGCCCATCAGTAACTTGGCCTATGAGTTATACACAAGCACAGATATATTAAAGAAAGTACTTTAGTTTTAAACAAGCTTTAAGAAAGTCTTACGTACAAATTCTACAAAATGCTTGTATTTTAAGTTTTTAAACTCATTATACTTGAACTTTTGAAAGAAGTGATTTTAGAATATTTTCTGCATTACTTTGAGGACTTTGTATATTTTGTATGCTCAGACATTAAAAAAAATTAACTATGATATGTGGCAAACACATGGGTATAGTTTCAAGTATAATATTAAAATGGGCCACCTGTGCCTACCACCTTTGCTTCCTAAATAACATTTCATCAGTATCTTATAGCCCCTCTGAACCTAATGGATGACATCTGCCTCCCTTTCTGCTATAAGTAATCACTATCTACTTTTTATCCTAATCAGTTTCTTTTCTTCATAATTTTACCATATGGGTGTGTGTCCCTTTTATCTAAACAAAAAAACAAATAAATTAAAATGAAATTTTAGGTAGTTTTCTCATTATCAAAATATAGCTATTTCCTTTCCAAATTATAGAATAATTAAAATAAAAAATAAAAAATACTAACAATACCAAGTGCTAGTGAGGCTATAGAGCAACTGGAACTCACACATTGCTAGGAGAAAGGTAAAATGCAGCTACTCTGGAAATTTCTTATAATGTTAGACAAATGCTTACCATCTAACCCAAAATCCCACTCCTTTGGTATTTATCCGAGAGAAATGAAAACATGCATTCAGACGAAAACTTGTAAATATATATGACAACTTTATTTATAATCTCCAAAGCCTGAACACAACCCAAATGCCCTTCAATGGGTGAATGAACAAACTGCGGTAGACCCATCTTCATCAATGAAAAGGAGTGAATCATTGATATAGGAACTAACTTAGATGAACCTCAAAATTATTTTTCTGAGTGAAAGAAGCCAATCTCAAAATATTACATGCTATATGATTCCATTTATAAAACATTCTAAAAAAGCCCAAAACTATAGTGATGGAGAATGGATCAGTAGTTGCTAAAGATTGAGAGCTGGGGGAGCATATGACTATAAAGAGGTCACACAAAGGAGTTTTATAAGGTTACAGTGGAACTATTTTGTATCCTGATTGTGGTGGTGGTAGTGACATCTATACATAGGTCAAAATTCATAGAATAGCACACCAAAAAAAAAAGGCTAATATTAGTATGTTACCTTAAAAAATAAATACATTCAACTGAGGTACCCATAAGTATCCTAAATCATTATTCAGACTGTCACTGTTTGAACTCGGGTACCAAATAGATCTGGATAATGAAGGATGATTGTATTGTTAGTATGCTCTAATTCTGAAATTTATATAAATGAAATTATAATATTGGCTGTGATATATTTTTCATAAACTTCTGGATTTTGCTTGATAAGATGTTTATGTTTTTTTTTAAATGTTTATGATTTTTAAATCTATTTTAATGGGAAGATTAGTTTGTTGTTTTTCTTACCCTCGTTGCTGGCTTGGGTATCAAATTTATGGTAGACTACTAAGATGAACCATGGAGTATATTTCTTTTGTTGATATTGTGGTTGTTCTCTGAAAAAATTTTTCTCTTTAATCTAGATTTTAGGTGTTTAGTTTCAATTATTTTATTTATTTTTTATTTTTAGAAATTCCATCTGGTTCTTTTTCCAATATACTTGGTCATTCATTCAACACATATCTATTGAGTGTTTACTATTTTCTAAGTGTTACTAGGCAGTGGGGATTCAGAAAAAGTAAATGAAACAAATCAAAATGTCTGTTCATGGAATTATAGATTCTAGTGGAGGAAACAACAAAATAAATAAGGAAAATCTGCAAGATTTGAGGTAGTGATAAAAGCCGAAGAGAAAAATAAAGTGCAAAAGAGGGATAGTATCACAACTTTGGAACGGATGGCCAAAGAAGAATTCTCTGGCCAGGTAACATTTGAGTAAAGATGGAAGAGAGATGAAGGATTGAGTCACATGGATATTGAGGGGAAAGAGCATTCCAGAAACCAAGTCCTAAATCTCCAAGGCAGGCATGTTCTGGAGTATAAAAATCAGGTAGAAAAACAACAATAGCAACAACAGAAGGAACAGCTAGAGATGAAGAGGAAAATCAGGAGGACATGGTTTCTTGGATGCCACATTTTCTAGAAAGGAAGAATAGTGTTATCTACTGTGTCAAAAGCTGTTGATAATCAACTAAGATAAGCACTGAGAATCAACCATTGAATGTAGCAACAATTGAATTCCACTGCTGACCTTGATAAGTGCACATTCCATGAAGCATTTGGGAGAAGGGGTGCAAAAAGCCTTATTGTAGTGGGTTCAAGTCAGAATGGGAGAAGGGTGATTTGAGGTAGTGAGTATAATTAATCTTTGAAGGGGTTTTCCTTAAAAAGAAGAAATATAGCAGGATCTAGAGGGGTAAATAGAGTCAGGACATGCAGGTTTTTTAAGTAATATGAAAGTGACAGTACGCTCATATGATGATGGTGATGACTCAGTAGGGAGGGGAAAATGCTGCAGGAGAAAGAGGAAAAATTTAAGAAGCAATATCAATGAATAGGTAAGAGATGGAATCTGGTGCTCTTTAGTTGAGTGGCTCTAGCTAGAAACATGTACAATTTATTCATAAAAAGAGGAGTAAAGGCACAGTAGATGAACCAAGTTACAAATAAGCATGGTGATGTGGTGGGAGCTTGTAAGAGTCTCCTTCTAATTGTTTCTATTTTCTTAGTAATTTGGAAAGGAAAGAAGGTAGAGATGTCAGGTTTGAGAAGAGATCAGAAGCTGTGACTTAGTCATTTAGGGGTGTAAAGAGGTTGTCTGGACTAAAGAAATAGAGTTTTGGCTGTGAGGTAGCATTAAGGACCCTCTTGAGATTATTAATATTTATGAATTTAAAGAGAGGCTATTCTTTCTCTATCCACATTTAGCTCTCTGGACTTGGATATGTATCAGGTAGAAAGCTGGACTTAATTAAAGCTATAGCAAGTATGAGAGTATAATAAATCAAGAGAGAGGAAAGAGAGTGACTGAAATGATTGACCATTAAATTTTAACTGAGTAAGGAAGAAAGTGAAACATGAGATGCGTGAGCAATAGTGAAGAGTAGTGATGACCATGAACTGTAAGTCCAGTAGAAAAGGAGTTTTGGAATTGGAAGCCAAAGTAAGAGAACTAGAAATGTAGGGAGTTGTGATTAGATACTAGAATGTTTGAAATTGGGATTATGAAGGGGTTTCAATGTCTTGGTGGTCACTAGATAAGAGGTAGGTATGACCATGGAAATAAATGATTGAGATGGGATAGAAGGCAAAATCATTAAAAGAGAGGAGGTCAAGGAACTAAGGGGCCATGATTTGGGAAGGCTGAGCTATGTGAATATTGAAATCACTATTGGGGGATAATAAGAGAGGGAGATTGTGAGTCTGTGGTTAAAAATCTTCATAGAAGGAGAGACAGAGACCTAGGCATCAGTAGATGACTTTCACAAATAAGAGTTATAGGTGGTTTAACCTGATGTTATGAGTTTTTGGAGAAGAGGCAGGGAATGAAGACAGTCTAAAAGAAGACATGAGAAGCTAGGGCATTGCTTACCTGCCTTCAAAACCATGGTGTGTACAGCATGGGAGAAAAAATAGCCACCACCTCAGAGGGCTGCAGGGAACCAGAGCCACCAGGGAAGAATAAGAAGATGAAGGGAATATTAATTGAAAAGGATGAAGATATGAAAAATTTTGCTTATGACTGACCATGAGTTCCAGAGGGCAAATTTCAGGAAATGGTACATACATAACTTGGGTAATAAATGTCCACAGTTTGCTATGTACCAGGCACTAGGGTAGTCATAGGAGATGTTAAGATAAATAAAAACCCAATCTCTGCTTTTCAAAAGATGTAAATCTAATGAGAGAAACAGTCACAGGCAGACCAATAATTACATGAGCAATGTGTTATGATAGAAAATGAACAAAGTCCAGAAGAAAGAATCATGTGTTTTTCTTGAGTAGGTCTAGAACATTTCTCTGAAGTTGTGTATTATTTTTCTATTGCTGTGTAACCAGCTACCACAAATCATAGTGATTTTTTAATTTCTCGTGATCTTGATTCTATGAATTAGTGATCTAGCCAGTTCTGCTAGTCTCCCTGATGGTTGAGTGGAGACTAGAGGTCTATGATGGCCTTACTCATTTGTCTGGCAGCAGTGCTTACTCCTAGATGGGGCTTCAGTTCCCCTATGTGTCCCCTTGTATCACCCAGCAAGTTATACTGAGCTCCTTCATGGTCTGATGATCTCAAGTTTAAGGATTCTTAAGGCCTAAGCTCCAGAACTCATGCAATGTTAAGTACATGCAATCTGTTCTTCAAAGCAGATCACAAGACCAGCCTAGATTGGGGAGGCTGGGGAAACCAACTCTACCTTCTGGTGTAGAAGTAGAATGCCACACTGACATAGGGAGACATGATTCCTTAGAGGCCATTATTATAATGATCTACTACATGAAATAATTTTAGAACTGGATCTTAAACACAAATTGAAAACTGGGGAAGGTCATTCCAGGCAGAGAAAATAGACTTTTCATGGACCCAAATGCATGAAAAGTATGCCAGGTTGTAGCAAAGATGAGGTCATTTATGTATGTGTATATGTGTTTGAAAAGAGGAGCACATTGGCCAAACACCCAGAGGAATTAAAAGGATATGAG